CCATGTAACTTTAGGGCTGCCTATATACCAAGGGATGCTATAACTAATTTCAAGGATCAAACACAATGTAGTTCTCCTAAGCTACCCACTTTGGCCAAAGGCCTACAAATCACACCCTAACACTCTCATTCCCAAAACAAGATCAATGAACCAATAGAAGTATCACTTTATAAAGCCTCTTCTTGCATTTTTTTAGATGCAAAATCATTAATTACACTTGTATAATCAAGCTTCTCCACTATATTTTTCTCAATTGACAATATAGCTAAGTCATTCAATCTTTCTTGTATAATCAAGCTTCTCCACTATATTTTTACCTACTAAATAAATTTTAGTAGGTAAAAATTCACAATTTCATGAGCTATAATCTAATTTTTTGTCCTTTTTTGTCATTTTGAACCATTAGCAAATAATTTTTTGTAAGCTAAAATTTATAATTTTGTGAGCTATAACCTATAATTATTGGCTATTTTTAATCATTTTGATCCATTGGTAATAATTTTAAGAAGGCCCAACTTTAGAATTTTATGAGTTATATTTAATTTTGTGACAGCCAAAATTCATGATTTTATGAGCCATGACTCTTGATTTTATTCCATTTTTAGTCGTTTATACCCATTAGCAAAAAATTTTGCATAGGTAAAATTTCATAATTTTGTGAGCTACCCATGATTTTTGGTCATTTCTAATCGTTTCAAACCATTGTCAAATAATTTTGCAGAGTCCAAACTTCATAATTTCATGAGCTATAACCCATGCTTTTTTGTCATGTTTTTCTATTTCAATCCATTAGCAAATAATTTCGCAGTTGTAAAAATTCACGATTTCGTGAGTTAACCCACAATTTTTAATGTATTTAGTTGCTTCGATGCGTTGATAATAATTTTGTGAGGCCCAAAATTTACGATTTCATGTGCTATAATCCATGATTTATAGCCAATTTTAGTCATTTTGACCATTTGGCAAATAATTTTAGAGAGGCCAAAATTTACAATTTCATGAGCTATTATCTACAAGTTTTGGCAATATTTAATCGTTTCAACTCATTGCCAAATAATTATGTTGTTGCTAAAATTCACAATTTCAAGAGTTATAACCTACGATTTTTTGCCACAATTCTTAGTCATTTCAACCCATTGGTAAATAATTTCGCGAAGATTAAAATTCACGATTTTGTGGGCTATAACCTACGATTCTTAGCCCTTTTTAGTTGTTTCGACAGATTGACACATAATTTCACGGAGATAAAAATTTACGATTTTATGAGCTATAACCCACGATTATAGGCTGTTTTTAGTCAATTTGAGGAGGCCAAAATTCACAATTTCATGAGCTATAACTCATGATTTATTTTTTATTTTTAGTCATTTTGACCCATTGACAAATAATTTCTTGGTAGCTAAATTTTTTGATTTCATGAGTTATACCACACGATTTGGCTATTTTTTTATTAATTTGGCCCGTTGGCAGTAAATTTTGTGGAGGCCAAAATTTCTTTTCGTGAGTTATATTTAGCCATTTTTAGTCGTTTAAAATTATTGACAAATAATTTCACGGAAGCAAAAAAATAAAGATTTAGTGAGCTATAGCCCATGATTATTGGCCAATTATAATCAGTTTGAAACATTGTGAACTAATTTCGATGAGTACAAATTCATGATTTTATAAGTTATAACCCACAATTCTTGGTCATTTTTAGTTGTTTCAACCCATCGACATAATTTTGCGGAGGCCAAAATTCAAGATTTTATAAGCTATAACATGCGATTATTGAATATTTTTAGTCATTTCGATCCATTAGTAAGTAATTTTGAGGAGGTCAAAATTCTCATAAGCTATAACCCACGATTATTAGGCATTTCTAATCATTTCGAACCATTAGCAAATAATTTTGCAAAGTCCAAATTTCATGATTTTGTTAGTTGTAACCCATGATTTTTGGCCACTTTTAGTTGTTTCGATCCATTGGCAATTAATTTTACGAAGGCCAAAATTTATGATTTCAAGAGCTGTAACCCACGTTTTTTGTCATTGTTAGTCATTTTGACCCATGGATAATTTTGTGGAAACCAAAATTCATGGTTACGTGAGTTATAATCCATTATTTTTAGCTATTTGTCATCATTTCGAACCATTGGCAAATAATTTTATAGAATCCAAACGTCGTGATTTTGTAAGTTATAACCCATAATTTTTGGCTATTTCTGTTTGCTCTGTTATACAAGAAACGAAAAAACTCATCAACACATTTATTTTGAATGCTCATATACAGTGAACGTCTAGAACAGTATGATGCTCTGGGCTAAATTTGATTGGATGTCAATGGTGTGATTCTTGAAGAACGTAAGAAGAGGGATTACGTATTTGTGGCTTTATTTTCAAGCATAGCATAAATGAAATATTTAATTTTATATTTAATTTTAGGAATTGTTGGGGCCCTCTTCAGAGAAAAAGGGGACCCTCCAAAAAGTGGCGTATGCTGCTTGGATGTGGAGAGCACACGGTATTCTTTAGTAAAAGGCGAAAGTGGCGTATGCTGCTTGGATGTGGAGAGCACACGGTATTCTTTAGTAAAAGGCGAAAGAATAGTTCGCTCTGTGCTCACCACGCAGACACGGTATTCTTTAGTAAAAGGCGAAAGAATAGTTCGCTCTGTGCTCACCACGCAGCTGCGTGCCCTTTTCATCCGAGGCCGAAAGCCTACTAAAAGAGGCAGCGCGTTCCCAAATCTCTATGCCGAGCGATGTGGGACTAAAATGCCTCCCAGTTACATAACTCGTCTGGTGTTGGTAACTCCTGAGTCCCAAAGTCACGCAGTGGCGCTTCACAACAAATGCGACGCTAGTCTCTTCCTCATTCCTACTCCCTCTTCATGCTTAAAGAGTTCTGATCGAAAAATATTCCCACGTGAGAACATTCAAACTTTTTATGGCCAGTAGTTTTAAAACTTGCACTTAAATACCCTAAGGTTTCTAAAACTTGCACTTAAATACCCTAAGGTTTCTAAAACTTACACTTGAATACCTTCAATTATGCAAACTTTAAGGTGTTTTAGTGCAAGTCAAATTTAACTTTAGGATATTTAAGTGCAAGTCTTGCACTTAAATACTATACAATTTTTTAAAACTTGCACTTAAATACCCTAAATATTCTAAAACTTCACTTGAATACCCTCAATTATGCAAACTATAGGGTATTTTAGTGCAAGTCTTAAAAACTTTAGATATTTAAGTGTAAGTATTAAAAACTTTTGGATATGTAAATGCAAGTTTTAAAAACATTAGGGTGTATAACTGCTACCATATAATTGATTAATACTGATTGAGAAAGCTTATGCATTTTTTATGGAAGAAATTTTATGAATTTTAAGTTGTTATTTATTCGTAATTGAGCCCACAATTTTAGTCGAGTGAGATTTTGATTAAATTTCATTTTCTCTTTGCAAAAAAAATATGAGCTAATTTAAGTCCCCCTCCTCCCCCCGCGCCCCCCCCCCCTCCCGCCCTATGGCGGTGAATGGCGAATCTATACTCCTAAGATCAGAATGATGTGAGGGATGAGATAGAATTCTTTTTTAGAATATTGCCGTCAAAAACTATGTTAAAACAAGAAATGAGTAAATATTTTGTATATTTTGTTTCGCACTCTTTTTGCTATTCTTTTCATTTCTTTCTTCTCAACTGATATATGCACGCGCTTCTTTATTTTATCAGTCACTAACACGTCATGTAAATGCGGATCAGTGACATAACAGATGCAAAGAATCCAATCCGAATCCGATGTTGGTGTAGAATTGGATACGACAGTAATTAATGCATAAAGAAGACGATATACCTGGAATTCGTTTTTTAGGAAATATAATAAATAATTCATACCAACTGAATAACACGTACAAATACTACAACAATTTAACTATAGGAACCCATATCAATATATTTATGCACTTTGAGGGGCTAACATCAAAATATGAAGATTTGAGGGACTAATAGCAAAATACTAATGATATAAGGGTTCGCACGCATGTATTTGTGTGTTTGCGTGTACGTGACAATTAAAACAATTTACGAGATGATGAATACAATAACAATTAGGAATTTATCAACCGGATTCACTTTGATATTGTAGACTATTTCTGCTCATTTTATTTTTAAATTTATGTATTCTTATATGCGAACACTTAAGATTTCTTCATAATACTTTCTGTTATTTTTTTTGTTTTGATTAACTTTCTCATTTTTTTATGTTCATAAAACAAATTTAAACAATAAAACAATTATTTTCCACAATTCATACGATGCATCCCAACTAGTAGGGGTGTGCAACGGTCGGTTCGGTTCGGTTTTTAGTAAATTTTGAACAACCGAACCGAACAGCCTATAATTCAAAACCGAACCGAACTGTTGCAAGTCGGTTCGGTGCGGTTCGGTTCGGTTTGTTCGGTTCTAACTTCATCAAACTTCTTATCAAACAACAAACTGTGTTAAAGAAAAAAAAGATATCAACAAAGTAGGAGATTATGAAACATTAAACACTGATATAATGATATTGTTTTCAACCCATAATGATTCAGAAAATGAGTTTAGGGTTTGAGTCTTTGACTCTTTGGGGACGGGTCGGGTAGGGTTTGAGATCAGAATGAGTAGTATTGCACTATATTCGGTCGGTTCGGATCGGTTCGGGTCGAAAAGTTTTCAAACCAACCCGAACCGTCCTACTCATAAAACCGATTTTTTCGGGTCGGTTCGAGTTGGTTCGGTCAGTTTTTTCGGTTTGGACGGAACCATGCTCGGCCCTACCAACTAGTACGAACAAGTACTACAACAACTTGTCCGGCCGTTTCGGGTAACAAAATGAGGCCCAGCAGCCCTATTTTTCACCGTTACAATCCCAAGGAATAGTTACGTATACATGGGCCTCCATCGAAGAGCCCAGCCCAAGGCCCATACAGAAGAGAGCGTAAACTCCAATCCTCTTGGACTGCTGACCACTGCCAACACAAAACAGGGATTTTTATCGTCCCCTTTTTACTCTCTCTCTCTCTCTCTCTGGTTATTAGTATCAGAAGAAGAAGAGGAGAGAGAAAGAGGTGAGAAATAAAAATGGCGATGTGGGTGTTTGGCTATGGTTCTCTAATTTGGAAGGCAGGCTTCAACTACGATGAGAAGCTCTTTGGTTTCATCAAAGGATACCGCAGACTTTTCTACCAAGGTAATAATAATAATAATAAATTCAATTTTTTTTATTACTTTTTTCATGGACGGTAATTAAACCAAATAAATAAATACATAAGATCTGTGATTTTCAGGGAGCACTGATCACAGAGGGACCCCTGCATTCCCTGGGAGAACAGTCACTCTGCTGCCCTGTGATGGAGAAAAATGTGTACGCTTCATTTTTCTTAATTTGTTGGGTTCTTTCAAAATTTTGTCTTTTTCAAGTTTTCTAATTGGGTTTTGATTGATATTTTTTGTGGTCTGGTGATGATTGATTACTCTGCCGTCTTAGTATTTGATTGTGTGAGTTAGTTGCCTGATAAGAAAGAAGCTGGATTGGGTGACATTGGGATTTATTTCATTTTAATTTTCGTACTAATCTTATTAAGCTGGTGGTGGTTTTTGTCTGATATACTTTTATTCTGGAAAGTTAATATGATTCGATGAATTGTGGTTATGGACTTATAAAGATTAAGTATTCATGATGTTAAAAACCTCGCATCCTGTTTGAATGATGTGTAATGCTAACTCTGATGCAAACCCTGTACTAATTTTGTGTTGTAAGAAACTAAAGCCTCGTGAATTGTAATCGAAATTCTAGGCCCCCATGACTTTGTTGCTTAGTGCAAAACTTGTTCAGGATTTGTAGTTTGGTTTCGACTACTCTTGTATGATGCATAACTTTATCCTTTCATACTTTATAGGGAATTGTCTATGCACATCAGACGACTGAGGTATTTGAATAGAAAACATATGTAATTTGAAATTTTGATCAAGGTTTGTGTCAGATCCTTGAGCAGTTACCGATCGGGAGCAATGCTAAGAAAAATGAGCAAACAAATTCCTCCACTTGCACCTTGATGTATCACACCCTCCACTATATAGAGCAAAACCATTTCTTTATGTGGAATGTTCTTGTTGAGTGAGATATTTGAACGTGGCAAAATACAACCTTTCTTATTCCTATGCTTTTTTTTTTATACCTTGGTATCTGTTTTAAATGATAACAAACCCCATTTCACTTTTGCATTACTTCAGTGGGGAATGGCCTACAAAATTTCTGGAGAAGAAAATAAGGAGATTGCACTATCAGTAAGTATACTATGGCCTTTTTCCCTTATCTTTGACTTGATATTACACTTCATCTTTTGGAGTCATATGCACGCATATTAGATTAGAACAGTAGGCATCTTGAAACCAGCAGTTATTAGGTTGAATTATACCTTAAATTGATTAGAGAACAACAAGTGCATAGTTCTTGGATCCATTAATTTCTCCAATTTGTTCTCTTTGTTAGCAAACTCACCAAAGTTAACAAACCATTAGAGCCTTTCCATATTAAACTGCTGTGTGTGTTTTTTTGACATAATTAGCCTTCAATAATGAAAGGTTTAATCCAGATTTGACTTATGATAGGGGAGATACTTCCTGATCTTACTAGTCTAAGAATGAATTCATCATGACAGAGATAACTCATCTCTTGGCTTATTGGGATTATCCATCTCCACAATCCTAGCAGCATGTCTCTGAGATGTATATGTCTAATTTCTAGCCACCAATATAAACAAAAAGAAGTGTGCATGCTTTTTACTCCTAGCACAAATTTTCTTCATTATACAACTACCGTTGCTAGCTCTTTTTTACTCATCTCACAGCTCAAAGACAGATAGTGGAATAAAGGAATCCCTCATTTCTATGTGGAAAATTTAGTAGATGCACTAATGTTTAGCTTCTCTATTTGTGTGTCATTTCTTTACACAACTCATAGATACATCTTTGTACAGAAACAGAATTACAGACCTCATAATATCTCTATGAAAGTAAAATTTCATGTCAAGAAATATAACGCTTTAACAAACAAATTCTATGTCTTTACAAATCAATCTCATATTAGCTCAGCAAAATTCTCTCCTCTCTCTATAAACTCCTCATCTAAAAGATTTAGTTGTGAGATTCATACATAGACATAACACTTAGATACCTTCACCATGAGTTATTTTCTTGAGATATGCATAACACTATGTCTTGAATTATGTACTTAACATATAGAACAATATTTAGCTTGCATTTTTAAGAAAAATTCCATATTGACAAGTAGCAAATTAATTGGTGCTGCAGTATCTTGAAGTAAGGGAAAAGCAGTATGACACAAAGGCTTATGTTGATTTCTATACTGTAAGTTTAGCAAATATTTGTTCTTACAATCTTTTTATTTGATAATAAATAACCAAATGTAGATATGTAACTTATTTCAGGAACCCAATTCCACAATTGCTACTATACAAGGAGTTATGGTGTAAGTTGCAGAACTGAATCTATGATTTTTTTATAGAGTTAATTGCGGATAGACCCCCCATAGTATCATTGTTTTCAACTTACTATCCATCAGGTTTTATTTTTGCAGATAGATAATCTGAAAACTTTATGACTCTTTTACCCTAATGGAAAGAGAAAATTATTTTTTAAAAAACAGACCCCAAGTGTAAAAGAGTACAAAAAATCATTTGGGGATCTATCTGCAAAAGTAAGACTAGAGGGATTGTAAGTTCAAAATAGAGATGCTACCGGAGTTTATCTGCAACTAACGCCTTGCCTATATTAGGCTGCACTTGGGGGAAATACTGAAATTTTGAACCCATTTAGATATGTAGCTTCACCTGACCCAAGGATTAATCCAAACTATTTGGGACCGGCATCACTTGAAGAAATGGCCAAGTAAGTTAACTCTTTTCCATCAAATGCAAGTTCTTAGTCATTGGGTCGAAATGGATGAAAATGGACAAAACTCATGGGTCCCATGAAAATCACAAGTTTTGAATCACGCATAATTAGTTGTCATTGAGTTGGAATAGATGAAAATTGACAAACATTGTAGGTTAAGCCCGTGAAATCATGAATTTTAAAGACAAATCTAATTTTCTTTCAATCAAAATTAACAAAAATCATGGGTTGAAACCTACGAAAGTCACAATTTTTGAAGTTACGCATCTAATTACCATTTGGTTGAAAATGGAAAAAGATTGTGCATTAAAGCCCATGAAAAGTGCGAAGTTTGAAATATGCTAAATAATTGCCTTTAGATCGAAACAAAAGAAAATAGATAGAAATTGTGGATAGTCCACGAAGATTGTAATTTTTGAAGAAAGAAAAAAATTACTATTGGAGCGAAACAAACAAAAATTGACAAAAATCATGGGTCATAATCCATAAAACTTGCAAATTTTAAAGTATGCATAATTAATATCCACCAGGTCGAAACAAAGAAAAATGGTCAAAAATCATGAGTTATAACTCATAAAAATTGTAAATTTTAAAGTACACCAATAAATTGCCATAGGTTGAGACACATGAAAATTGATAAAAATGTGGCTTATAGTTATAGCCCATGAAATATACAAACTTCAAAAACAAAAAAACTTTATTACATTGTAAGAACGGACGAAAATGGACAAACATTATGGGTTATAGCCTATAAAAATCACGAGTTTTAAAGATAAAAAATTTAATTGTCATTCTGTAGAAATGAACCAAAATTGACAAAAATCATTGGTTATAATGCATGAAAAGCACAAATTTTGAAATATGTATAACTAACTGCCATTGGGTCGAAACAAACAAAAATGGATAAAAATCATGGGTGCCCACGAAAAATGCGAATTTGAAAGTACGCCAAATAATTACTTTTAGGTCGAAGCAAAAGAAAATGGAATCGTGGGTTATAGCCAAAGAAAATCATGAATTTTGAAGAAGCAAAACTTAATTGCTATTGGAGCGAAATAAACAAAAATTGATAAAAATTATGGGTTATAATCTATTAAAATTAATAATTTTGAAGTATGTAGTATATATTGTCATTCGGTGGAAGCAAAGAAAATGGACAAAATTCGTGAATTATAACCCATAAAAATTACGAATTTTAATGTATGCCAATATATTGGAATATTATCGGAACGGATGAAAATGGATAAAATCGTGGTTTATAGTTCATGGAACTCATGAATTTTAAAGAGAAAATTTAATTGTTATCGAATCGAGGGAAACAAAAATTGATAAAATTGTGGGTTATAGGCCCATGAAAAGTGCGGATTTGAAGTACCCAAACAATTACTATGTGATCGTGTTAAACAAGAATATTGTAGATCCTCATTCATTTGTTATAAACTACAACTAACCCCCTTTATATGTGGATGCAATAGCAAGTTTTTGTGGAGTGCATATTCTATTAGAACACCCATGAAAATCACATCTTTTTTAAGTGCCCATAACAAATTGTCATTGCCTCAAAACAGACGAAAATGTACTAAAATTGTGTTATAGCTCATGAGAACTACGAATCTTAAATTTCGCTAAATAAATTACCCTTAGGTCGAAACAAAAGAAAATGGACAGAAATAGTAGGTAGTCCACAAATATTGCGAATTCAAAGAAAAAAACTTAATTGCTAGTGTAGCAAAACACACAAAAATTTATAAAAATCCTGATTGAACCATGAAGCAAATTCGAAAATATGCATAATTAATTACTGCTGGGTCGAAATGAAGAAAAAACGGGCCAAAAACATGGGCTATAGCCTATAAAATTTGTGAATTTTAAAATACGTCATAAATTACAATTATGTTGAAACAAACAAAAACCATGGCTTATAGTCCATGAAATTCACGAATTTTAAAGGTAGAAAACTAATTTGTCATTGTGTTGAAAAGGACAAAAATAGACAAACATTATGGGTCAACCCACAAAAATCACGAATTTTAAAGAGAAAATTTAATTGTCATTAGATAGAAATAGTCAAAGATGGATAAAAATCGTTGGTTATAACATAGAAAATTGTAACTTTTGAAGTACGCAAAACTTAGGGTTGGGCATAGTCCAGGTCAAATCATGGGCCGAACCAGCCCAACCCACTTTGCGTTTAAACCTGGCCCGACCTACATCGGGCTGGGCCCAACCTGACTCATATTGGTGGCGATTCATGGGTTGAACTGAGTTTTGTTTTGATCCAGACCCTGGACCAAAGAAGCAGATCCGACCCACTATAGGCCCGGCCCATTAATGGCTTGGCCCAACAATGGGCCAGCCTAACCCAATTCGATTGGTTTAATAATCACTATTATAAATAGCGGTAAATAGCACCGCAATAGCGACACTAATTACGTTAGTGTTCCCATCCCGCTACGCTATCGCCCAACGCGATGTTATATTGTGGAATATGTGTTTTCTGTTCGCAAAAGCGGCCAATAGCTCGTCATAGCGGTGAATAGCGGGCGATTGCAGACAAAATTTGCTTTTTGACCGCTATTTAAAGGCGGTTTGAAATTTATTTTTTTTAAATTAAACCTGACCCACAACCAATACATTCCAACGCTTCCTACGATTTCTGACGTATTCCCGCTGCCTCCCATAGCCTCCGGCACCTCCCTTAACACTTCCTCTCACCTCTTGTCGTGAGTTCCTCCTACTGCAGTCCTCTCACCGCTCAGCTCCTCTACTCGAAGATGAGGACTCTTTGACTCCTCTAGTCGTCTTCGGTATTGTGACTGTTACATATCTATTTCATGTTTAGGATCTCTTTAAATCATCAAGTATGCACTTTTAGATTTTTTAGATTTTTCTTTAATTTTTCTTTTTTTGAATATTTATACATATCTAAATTAGACCGTTGTTTGACTTTGTGTTTTCACTGATATTTGCCGCAATAGCCCCAAGTAGTCTTAACGATGTCTTACCGTTACGTGACGCTATCAGCTATCAATAAACTTACTTTAATTATAAATATTTACTTTTTTCATCAAAAAATAAATGGGCCTTAGGCCCTCAGGCAACGAGGCTGACCTGCTACTAGTAGGTCGGTGACAAAGTCTAACCTACTAGCAACAGGTCATTGTTGCTGGCCCGCTACCAGTAGAACAGATTGCGTCACAGTCTGGCCTGCTACAGTTTGTTGGAATTGTTGCTGGTATGCTACTAGCAGGCCAGATTACCTAATTTGGCCTGTGGCAGTAGGGTCCGCGTGCTGTTGTAGCTTGCAACAATGTTGATGGTCTACTACCAATTAGGAGGGGACCCACTTAATTTCAGTTGTGCTAAAACAAAGAGCTAACGACTCTCTTTTTAGCAATCTAAGCTCTTTTTTATAGCAATCATCTATACTAAAAAGAGAGTGATTGATAAAAAGAGAGATGTCTCTCTTTTTAGCATCAGATGTGTAGACTAGACATTTGTTTGTAAAAAAGAGAGCAAACGACTCTTGTAGTCTCTCTGTTTCTCTGTCAAATTCATTTGCGTCAATTGTTTCTTCTTCAATTTACATCTCTGAAACTTCAGTATCTAAAGATTGAGAAGTCGGAGACGAACATTGAGGAGGTTGAGGTCAAGGTGGAGGATAAGAAAAGATAAAACGTCTCTCCATGACAGAACCGGGTAGTAGCGGCCCACACGATTGTTGTCATTCCATTGAGAAAGTGAAATAGAGTGTCTAGAAGTAGAGTCTAGAGGGGCAGGTATCTGTGGTTATTGCTGGATAGGTAAAGGGAATGGTACCGAGTAGTGGAATCAACAATGTAGCAAGCGGGAGCATACGGGTAGTAAGAATCATGGTATGCATTTGGCCACTATTACTACCACTAGCTTCATGTGAATAGTACTAAGAATGTGAGAAATGTGTACAATCACTTTCACTGGCAACGGATGGGGAAGAGGGAGATTATTGTGAGGAGGATGAGTAGGGATCCATTTTATAATAGAAGATTTTTTTTCTTAAGGTAACTTTGGCATAGAGGGTATAAGAGATTTTTTATAATCAGAATGAGATAGATTGATAGAAGAAGTTGTGAGATAGGAGGGTGAAGTGACTCCTATTTATGGTAAAGAGAAGAGGTTCCCTGGTTTCATTTAAAAAAAATTCAAAACGTATTTGATATAGAAACAGAGAGAGATTAAGAGAGTCGTTTGCTCCATTTTTAGCAATCAAATGCCTAGTTTAGGCATCTAATCCTAAAAGGAGAGAACTCGTTTGATCAATCACTCCCTCTTTTTAACAAAGCTGATTGCTATAAAACCGAGCCTATATTTGCTAAAAAGAAAGAGGGCTCTTTCTTTTTAACAATCAACTGATTGCTAAAAAGAGAAAGTCATTGGCTATCTGTTTTAGCATAGCTCAATTCAAGGGGGCCCCAAGCTAATTGGCAGCAAGCCAAGAACACTACTATAGTCTGCAATAGCATGCAGGTCCTGTTATCAGCTGGGTTGCTGGTCTACTACAAATTGTTGCTAGCCTGCTACCAGATTGGCCCGTAATATAGTTTGCTAGGCGCAATCAGGCTAGCAGACCAACAAAAAATTATTGCTGCCTTGCTGCCAGCAAGCCTGATTACGACCTAATCTTGCTTGTTGGTAGTAGGTCAAACTTTGTCACTAGCCTAGCTGCCTGAGGGCATGAGGCATATTTGCTTTTTACTAAAAAAATAAATATTTATAATTAATCCGACTTTAGGCCGGGCTGGGCCATTGGTGGGTCGGGCTTGCTTCTTTGGTCCTAAGTCTGGATCAAAACCTAGCTCGACCCATGGAACTACCGCCATGTGGGCTGCTTGGTCGAGCCCGGCCTTAGGCCCTGCCCTATGTGGGTCGAGCCGAGTTTAGACCAAATCGGGTTGGGGCGCGTTCAGCTCGCGGTTCGACCGTCTATTCCCATCCCAAGTTATAGCCAGGAAAATCTTGATTTTGAAAAAGAAACTTAATTATTATTTGACCAAAACACACAAAAATTAACAAAAATCATAGATTATAATCCATCACGAATTTTGGAGCACATATAATTAAATGACATTAGGTTGAAATGAAGAAAAATGTACAAAAATTGTGGGTTGTAGCCCATAAAAATTTCAAATTGTAAAGTACACTAATAAATTGGTATTACGTCGAAAATTGATCAGCTCATGAAACTTGCCAGTTTTAAACAAATAAAACTTAGTTGTCATGGATTTGAAACAAAGTAGATAAATATCTTGGTTATAGCCTATGAAAAATCAAGAATTTTAAAGATAGGAAATTTAAATGACATTTAGTTGAAACAAACTAAAATTAACAAAAATTATGGGTCATAACCCATAAAAATCACAAATTTTGAAGTGCACACCCCATGAAAATCAAGTATTTTAAAGATAGAAGTGGTTCATAATCCATGAAAATCGTAAGTTTTAAAGTGCACACCTCGTGGAATGTGCGAATTATGAAGTACGCCAAATAATTACCATTAGGTCGAAATAAAAGAAAATAGACAATAACAGTTAGTTATAGCTCAAGAAAATCACGAATATTGAAGAAATAAAACTTATTTGCTATTGGAGCGAAAGAAACAAAAATTATCAAAAGTCATTGGTTATAACCCACAAAAATCACTAATTTTGAAGTACTTATAATTAATTATCATTGGGTTGAAACAAAATAATGGACAAAAATTATAGGTTATAGCAAGTACGCTAATAAATTGGCATTAGGTTGAAATGGACCAAAATCGACGAAAATTGTGGCTTATAGCCTATGGAAAAGATAGAAAATTTAATTGTCATTGAGTTGAAACAAACAAAAAATGGACAAACACCGTAGGTTATAGTCTATGAAAATGAAGAATTTAAAGATAGAAAATTTAATTGAAATTCGGTTGAAAAGGATGAGAATTAACAAAAATCATCCATGAAAGTCGCAAACTTTGATGTATGCACAATTAACTGACATTGGATCAAAGCAAGCGAATATCGACTAAATTAACCTTAGGTTGAAACAGATAAAAATCGACAGAAATTGTGGCTTATGGACCGTGAAATTCACTAATTTTAAAGATAGAAAATTAATAGTCATTTGTCGAAACAAATGAAAATAGACAAACATTGTGTGTTATAGACCATTGAAGTCAATAATTTCAAAGATAGAAAATTTAATTGGCATTCAGTCCGAACAAATGAAAATTCACAATAAAATGTAGGTCATAATCCATAAAAATCGCAAATTATAAAGTACACACCCCATGAAAATCAAGAATTTTAAAGATAGAAGTGAATACCCACGAAAATCGCAAATTTGAAGTGCATACCCCATGAAAAGTGTGCATTTTGAAGTACACAAAATAGTTACCATTAGATCAAAACAAAAGAAAGTGGGCAAAAACCCATGGGTTATAGCTTTGAAAAATCAGGAATATTGAAGAAAGAAAGCTTAATTGCTATTGGAGTGAAACAAATATAAATTGACAAAAACTATGGGTTATAATCCATGAAAATCATAATATTTGTAGTGCGTTTAATTAATTGTCATTAGGTTGAAACAAAGAAAATGGACAAAAGTTGTGGGTTATATCCCATAAAAAGTGCAAATTATAAAGTACGCTAATAAATTGACATTAGCTCGAAACATACGAAAATCGACAAAATTCATGGCTAAAGTTCGCGAATTTTAAAGTCAAAGCACTTAATTGTCATTTGCTCGAAACTGATAAAAATGGACAATCATGGGTTATAGCCCCATGAAAATCAAGAATTTTAAAGATGGCTTATTTAATTGGCATTTGGTTGAAACAGATGAGAATTGACAAAAATCATCGCTTATAACCCATGGATACCGCAAATTTTGAGAAACGCACAATTAATTGACATTGCACTGAAACGAATGAAGATGGAAATAAATCGTGGGTTATATAAGCTATGAGAGGTGCCAATTTTGAATTAAGGCAAATTATTTCCATTAGGTCGAAATCGTGGGTAATAATGCATGAAAATTGCAAATTTCAAAGGAAGAAAACTTAATTGCTATTGGAGTGAATTGACGAAAATCGAGAAAAATCACGAGATCCTATGAAAATCGTGAATTTTGAAGTACACATAATTAATTGTTATTTGGTGAAAATAGGAGGAAAATGTGTGATATCATGTGATATAGTTCATGAAAAAATTTAAGTTCTGAAGAACGCATAATTAGTTGCCAATAGATCAAAAGGCGCTAAAATGGACACTCATCATGGATAATACCCACGAAAATCATTAATTTTAACTATAGAAAATTTAATTGCAGTGCGATCAAAACGAAGGTAATTGATGAAATTATTATTTATAACCCATAAAAATTGCAAAATTTGAAGTGCACATAATTAATTATCGTTAGGTCCTAGCGTCAAAATTGGACAAAATTATGGATTATAGTTCCTGAAAATTTTGAATTGGAAATAATTTGTAGGTTGTAGCATTTGAAAAATCACAAATTTTGAAGTATGCTTAATTAAACTGATACAGATATATCCTGAGCTACGAATAAAGAATCGCGAATTTTAAACAAAGAAATCTTAGTTACAATTGGGCCAAAACAAACGGAAACGTACAAACATTAGGGATTGTAACACATGAAAATCACGAATTTGAAAGTACACGCAAGTAATTGTTATTGGGTCAAAACAAATGAAAACGGACAAAAACCGTGGGTGCCTATGAAAATTGTGAGTTTCGAGGTATGCCTAATTAATTGCTATTGGGTTGGAAGAGCCAGATTTTGAAAAAAAAAAATCGGTTATAGCTGATGAAAACCACAAATTTTGAAGAAAGAAAATTGCTATCGGATTGAAACAGATGAAAATGGACAAGACTCAGGTTTATAGCAAATTTTGAACTACGCATAGTTCGTTGCCATTGGGTCGAAACAAATAAAAGGGACAAACATTGTGGGTGTAGCTCATGAAAATCATGAATTTTAAAGACTGAAAATTTAATAGTCGGAACAAACAAAAAATTGTCAAAAATCGTGTGTTAGACCATGAAAATGTCAAATTTTAAAGTACACATAACTAGTTGCCGTTGGATCGAAATGGATGGAAAGGGACAAAAATCGTGCGTTAGCTTAAGAAAAGTGCAAATTTTGAAGTACGCAAAATAATTATCATCACATCAATACAAAAAAAATTAGACAGAAATGACAGGTTATATAGCCCAAGAACGCAAATTTTGAAGGAAAAAACTTAATTGTTATTAAAGCAAAATAAACGAAAATGTGGTAACATTAGTTCTTTCACTCAACTTCAAATTGGCAAGATTATGTAGTCTCGAAGAAATGTGCAGCTTAATTATTTGTCTTAAAGTAAACAATAGAAACTAGTCCGTTTAGCCAATCTGATTTTTGTACTATTCACTCTTTCAGTTAATTGCTTCTTGAACATGTAAACCCTTGATTAGTTCAGTCTATGCGACCTGTTTGGTGCCAAGAGACAACCTAGGTTTCAACTTTGAGCTTCATTTTTGGTGTAGAAAGATGAAAAGGAACAATAATATTGGTAAAAATATGATTAATTTTACTCCGCTATTAGCTTCAGGTGGAATGGTTTCCTTCACATAGACGAGAAACATAGCATTATTTATTTTGGTTTTCTTCTCATTTCTTTTCTTTTAGTATAAGAGAGAGTCCGATAGTTATTAGACGTTTACAACAATATTATGCAATTGTTTGTAGACAAATTATCCAAGCTGAAGGACCATCAGGACCCAACAGAGACTACCTTTTCCAGCTCGACGAGGCGTTGAAGCAACATGGTGAGTGTTTTGTTTCTTGGATGTGGATTTATCAAGCCTGCATTCTTATACCATTTTCAATTTGTAGGATGTGAAGATTCGCATGTCATAGATCTCGCTAATGCAGTTAGAAAACTTCTTCCAGAGACGAAGCCAAGTTCTTGAATTGTGTGAACATAGCAATTGAGCGATGACGCTATTTTTATCGAGAAAATAAAAAGAAATTGAGCAGCTGTTGAACAGTTTCAATTTCAATACCCATGATCATTGTGACCTGTATTCAGTATTCTCATCTTCATCTTATGATGTAATATGTATATTGTATCAAGACAAAACAGATGGCCCTCTATGCATTGTAGTCTTATTATGTTGGATTATATTGGATTGGTTGTTATTATTGATCTCACAGTTGCTCATCGATCACTGGAAATACATACGAGGGCGATGAATGAGTTTCTCTGAAAGAAACTGTTAGCAGTATCATAATCTTGATTTATATTTTCAGTATATCGTCATGATCTAATCTTCAGATAACGCATATATAAATTGCAGAGGGTAGGCAAAGAAGAACATCAGCTAACTACTAACAATTACAGAGCAAGTACATTGTTAGAAGCATACACACAAAAGAGGGAGCTCTTTAATTTCCCTAATCCTCGTTGTCGTAGTCCTCATCCTCATCAATATGCATGTTTAAATTTACAACATTTAACGGGGCTATGCCCATCTTTGCTGCCTCATCAGGTAAAGGCCACGCTGCAGACTCCTCTCTTTTAGTTTCCTCCACAATCTCAGGGGGGTTTGCATTCTCAGCAACATTTTCCTTCTCTATGCCTCCGATATCTTTGGAATGAGGCTCTCCATGATCAGGGGACATATCATTATCATCTTCGAACTTCATATAAGCATCGGCATGCTCTTTATGCATTTCCATTGTTCTTATACTAGGGGGCCGCCCTCTTCCTCGTCCTCTGCCTCGTCCTCTGCCTCTTGGACTTGCACTAAAATGTGCACCCCTCATTGCCTGCCATATTGATTAATTCCTTAAGCTCAACTCAAAATTAACAACAAAAAACAGTAAGGATTAATTTGCAGATACACCCCTGGTAGTACGAGTGTATAATAACTTATACCACGCTATTTATCGATATTATTTCTCTCATTTGCTTAATACGCTATATAGGAATCACTTGACGATATGTTAAGATTACCTATTGCCCTCAATTCAACTGAAAAAAAATTAGTTAAATTGTCCTCTAAATTGAGGTCAGAGGCTCAAAGACGTGAACGCTAACAAAGTAGTTTAGGGAGGCTAGATGGCAACACCATTGTAATACAGGGGGCATATTTGCAATTTGACTCATGATAAATAATAAATAGCCAGCTACTTGTGACGTAATTTGTAGATGATTACCATTTTTGGGGACCTTATCTCTTCATCTGCCACTGTATCTCCATCATTTGGTAATGTTTTTCTGAGAATAGACTACTACTAATCAGTTGCTTGGTGTTCCTTGCAAAGTAAATGCAAAAAATCAGGAATGTTAAGCAGTTTACCTTCTGCGGGAAATTCCTTTCTCATCACCACAAGATTCAGCACCACCAAGATTCGGTACCTTGTTAACAACATCACTTAGGAAATCAAACGAACTATACATCTTCACACATTGTTTTCTGGAAATTTCAACAGATTAGTATAAGTTTGACATCTGCAGTGGCTGTCAAAGGAAAAGAACCGTGCATGGCTGGTTCAAGTTCAACTTACAAGTGCATGCAGTTTACTGTCTTGGCCCCTCTCTGGAGAGTAACTTCATAAGTCCTATCACAAAGATCTTGGAGAAATAATTCCAGAGCTTTTGCTGCAAAAAAAAAAAAAAAAAAACAATCCAGTAAAATGTTCAGAGCTTTTGCTGCAAAAAAAAAAAAAAAAAAACAATCCAGTAAAATGTTAGGCATTAGGATTTTAATTTGATCAGAGAGCTCGGTGTGATCATCAATCAGATTACATATTCATGTAAGAATAACGATTAATCATTAATATAACTTACAAACAAGAAGAGGGACAGCCAACGCAATCTTGCCAACATCTTCATCAGCTTGCATTATCTTCTTTATTCGTGACTGAGGGCACATAGAAAAAATACAACTTAGATTGTATCCAATCATTCCAGTAATCAATCAGTCACGAACTGATAAAGTTAAGTCAACATAACGAGTGAGGGCGGTAAACATAGAAATTAATCCATATAAAATATTTCCTTTCAGTTCATATTCAAGCAGCAATATTTTCATTTGATTTTATGTGACATCAACCCATGCGTCTCAATGTGTTGCAAAACGGATCTCCAACGCATGCTAATTTCACTTCACAGTCAACCGGCAACATTACGATAAAAAGAAAGCAAGAAAATATGAAGACCCAGTTCATAAAAATCAACAATCCAAGTATAAAAATTATGATCAACTATGAACATCTCAGCTTCAAAGACAGAGAAATAACCTAAGGTAACATATTTACTCTTCCAAACAAGAATTCATCTTAACACAACATGGGGAACCCCCTATATGAGAATCGTGGACTCGAGAAACCCTATAATCCCCAACCAAATTTACCATAAATCATAAATGTTCAACTCTGTACCGATATCAGCAAATAAATTTCTAAATCTTCATAAACACTGACAGAAGCAAATCAAACATGACAAAAAAACAACAACCGATTTCATGGTTCCCAATAAACAGATATACATTAAAACTGTTTTCTGTAACAGAACAAATTTCTAATTTCTGAAGGAAAAAAAAAGTTTTGCCCGCATAAATTTTACAACAAACATCACAAATGCTCAAAATCTGCTTGTCTCAAACAACTAGACTACCAAATCAGATAGAACCAGTTCCTGATCCCCCCAAAAAGACCACAGATTTCACTATAAAATTGCATCCGCTTCCCTAAAAAACAAAAAAAAAGGGGGAAAAAAAGGAAAAAGAAGAAGACCTAGAGATCTAAAGACATGAAGGAGAACATATCAAAATTCACAAATTCACTCATTCTAATCTAGTTACGCAATCACAGATCTATATATTCCTATAAAGGAGCTAAATCACCTTAAATCAACCTTAAATCGCATAAAAGTGATCAGATCCGATAAAGATCCAGACTTTCGACATAAAACCACACCAAATATACCCAAGTTCATCAGATTTCCGTCGATTTAACGAAAAAAAAAACAGATCAAGCAACAAAATACGGCGAATCGATCGATTACGTACAGCAGGGAATCGCGTGCCGAGCTTCTTCCTCATCTCCCTCTCCCGCTTGCCCTTCTCTCTCTGGTTCCACGATGATTTCAGGATCTCAAGAACGCGAGTCTCGGATCTCGCGAGCTCGGCCAAGCACTGTTTTTAACTTTTTTTTTTCTCGCCCAATTATTACTTTTTTCGCTCTTTTTTTTTATTGGATTACGTAAGAAGGACACGTGTGATATATCTCAGGTCACCGTGCCGTCCGATACGTTACGAACCAAATATGACTAAAAAAGAGTGAATCGTCGTTAAAAGGGGTGACGTGGGGTTTTTAGTGTTTGAAATTTGAAGACTAAACGCACGAAATTAGTATTAATAGTTTTTGTGTACGCATCATTTTTTTTTCTGGTATATACCAACTCTTTGATTATTGACAATTGATGACGCATTCTGGATTATGCTAATAAGCAAATTAATATCAAACCCTAAAATAGATTTTCCCTTACTCCCGTCAAAGCTTATCCTTAGAGGGTTGATTCAAAAGAAAACTAGTTTAAGAGTCGGAATATGAACTGAAAAAACTAGCTCAAATCCGGTCTAATTTTTGCCGAGCTAAAAATAACTTCCATTTAGACCAAAATCCTATATTATCTATGAAAATAGAAATGTTACTCAAATGTAAATATGTTCTCTATCCTATTTCAAATAAGGTAAGATAAAATATCACGTATAAAAAAAAAAACAACTATCATAGACAATCTTCCAAAAATCGATGAAACTTTAAGGTGTTATGAAACAATTAAATAATGTGGATGTCCATTTAGTTTCCCGAGAAGATTGATACATGTATTACCCCTTGATATTCCCCTAGTACATTAACCTTCTTCCTAGAACAACACAATACATGTTCTAGAATGATTAAGTTTATTAATGAGTAGTTAATATGATTCATGTATCATCATCTTAATTTGTCTATAAATAGAGGTATTCCTACCTCACTTTGTAAGAAAAGATTGATGAATAAAAATTCTCTCTACTTCTCATCTACTTTCTCTACTCTATTTTATAGTTTACCACATAAACTGCTACACCAAAATACATTAGTTTTACAGTACGTTATCAGCACAAGACTCTACCATTGAAACAATCCATTTCAAGTCCATTAGATTCATCGTGGGCAAGTGTTCATATTTTGGGTAAACCTTTGAGGTAAAATTTCTCTTTCCAATTCAATTCATTTTCACTATGACTAACCTTACAAAATAAGAATTTGTCTCTTGATATTTCTGGAAAGAATTATTTATCTTGGATGTTAGATGTTAAAATGCATCTTGCTGTAATGGGTCTTGAAAATACTATTGTGGAAGAAAATGAGACATCAAATCAAGACTGTACCAAAGCTATGATTTTCCTTCGCCATCATTTGGACGAAGGATTAAAAGTTGAATATCTAACTATGAAAGATCCACTTACTCTATAGAATAATTTGAAAGAGAGATTTGACCACCTGAAGTTGGTCGTGCTCCCAAAAGTCCAGTATGACTGGCTTCACTTAAGGATACAAGATTTTAAATCAATCAATGAGTATAATTCTGCAATGTATAAAATTACCTCTCAATTGCAATTGTGTGGAGAAAATGACACTGATGACGATATGTTAGAAAAAAACATTCTCCACCTTTCATGCCTCAAATATGCTCCTGCAGCACCAATATCGAGAGAGAGGATTTAAGAAATACTCTGAATTGATTTCATGCCTCCTTTTGGCTAAACAAAATCTATCGAGAGAGAGGATTTAAGAAATACTCTGAATTGATTTCATGCCTCCTTTTGGCTAAACAAAATAATGAATTATTATTAAAAATTTAAGAAATACTCTGAATTGATTTCATGCCTCCTTTTGGCTAAACAAAATAATGAATTATTATTAAAAAAATCATGAATCCCGACCTACTGGTGCTAGCTCATTCCCTAAAGCGAATGCAACTCAATCTCAAAATCATGGTCGTGGGCGTGGATATGGCCGTGAAAGAGGCCAAGGACGTAGCCGTTGTCGTGGATGAGGTCGTGGCAAATATGTGCCTTCTAATCACAATGATCATAACCGTGAAAAAAAGACAAAACAACTCCCAGAAGTGGGACAATAATGATAAGAAAAGTAAAGAAAAGAAACATTATGAGGAAATATGCTACCGGTGTGGAATAGAAGGTCATTGGTCTCATACCTGTCGTACGGCAAAATATCTTGTTGACCTCTATCAGACATCATTAAAAGGGAAAGGCAAAAATGCTGAGACAAATTTCATTGATCAAAATAATATTTATGATGATCTTGATGATATCACACGCCTCGATGTAGCTAATTTCCTTGAGCAACCTGAAGTTGCGAAATGATCCCATGACAAATACCCGACATTTTAAATTTTGTTATTTTCGCATCTTTTATGTAATTTTCTTTATGAATTTTGTAATTTATGGACTTTATTGATATTTACTTTTGTTTGTAATTTTTTAGTCATTTTTTCCTAAAGAAGAAATGAATGTATATTTAGGATCAAACAATGGTGATGATGATATTTGTCTCATTGATAGTGCTACTACACACACTATACTTAAAAACATAAAGTATTTTTCTCATTTGAAAATGGAAGAAATAAATGTTAACACAAAAAGTGGTAGTGCTAAATTGATTGATGGCTCCGGAAGAGCCACTGTATTTCTCCCCGAATGAACTAAAACTATCATAAATAATGCACTACTATCAATAAAGTCTCAAAAAAATTGCCAAGTTTTAAAGATATCCACCGAAATGGATATCATATTGAGACGATGAATGAGACAAATGGTGAATACTTATTGACTACAAATACCATTTCTGAGAAGAAATGCGTATTAGAAAAGTTACCTTCTCTATCTTCTGGTTTATATTATACAAAAATAAGTGCAGCTGAAATGTATCACCTTGAAGATCAGAAGTGTACTAATCCCAACGGTTTTATGATTTGGCATGATCTCCTTGGACATCCTGGTTCTATAATGATGAGGCGAATAACTGCAAACTCTCATGGTCATTCATTGAAAAATCAAAAAAAATACTAAATTCTAATGAATTCTCATGTGTGGCTTGCTCCAAAGGGAAGTTAATTGTTAGACCATCACCAACGAAAGTGGGAACTGAATCCCCTGCATTTCTAGAACGAATTCATGGTGATATATGTGGGCTTGTAGATCCATCATGTGGACCATTTAGATATTTTATAGTGCTAATTGATGCATCAACAAGATGGTCACATGTATGTTTATTATCAAGTCGAACCCTGGCGTTTGCAAGATTGCTTGCTCAGATAATTAAATTGCAAGCACAATTTCCTGATTAACCTATTAAGAAAATCCGTTTAGATAATGTTGGTGAATATTCATCACATGCTTTTGATGATTATTGCATATCTATTGGAATAAGTGTTGAACATCCTGTAGCTCATGTTCATACACAAAATGGTCTAGCCGAATCATTTATTAAACGACTTTAATTAATTGCAAGATCATTGTTAATGAGGTCTAAACTTTCTCTATTTGTTTGGGGACATGCTATATTACATGCAACAACACTTGTGAGAATTAGACCGACAAGTTATCATACTTATTCTCCCTTACAATTAGTTTTTGGCCATGAGCCCAATATTTCTTACTTAAGAATTTTTGGTTGTGCGGTATATGTTCCTATTGCACCGCCTCAACGTACTAAAATGGGCCCTCAAGAAGATTGGGGGTATATGTCGGGTATGAATCACCTTCTATAATTAAATACGTTAAACCATTAACATGTGACTTATTTACTGCAAGATTTGCAGATTGTCATTTTGATGAATCATATTTCTCGACATTAGGGGGATGTAAAGATCAACTGAAAAAGAGAATTACTTGGAAAATATCATTAGACTTTCTTGATCCTCGTACAAAAGAATGTGAACTGGAAGTTCAAATGATTATACATTTACAAAAAATTACAAACCACACTGCTAAAATTTGAGGCATCCTAGACGGAAAAATCCGTCTAGGATACACAGAATTCCGTCTAGGATGTGTATCCTAGACGGAATTCCGTCTAGAATACCCGTCTAGTTTGTTTCCGTCTAGTATGTAGTATTCTAGACGGAAATTCCGTCTAGAATACATTCTAGACGGAATATTCTAGACGGAATTAAAAACCGTCTAGAATACATCCTAGACGGATTATTCTAGACGGAATTTCCGTCTAGAATAATTTATCCTAGACGGAAAAAAATTCCGTCTAGAATAAGTATTCTAGACGGAAATTTCCGTCTAGAAATCTTATTCTAGACGGAATTTGATTTTTTAAATTTTTTTATTTTTTTAATTTTTAAAAAGTATTCTAGACGGAATTTAAGCATCCTAGACGGAATTTCCGTCTAGAATACTATGCTACAGTGTTTTTTTTTTTTTTTTTTTTTTTTTTTTTTTTTTTTTTTTGCAGAATCTACTTTGAGTGTATGTACACAATATTGAACAACAAAAAATTATATTCATATCCAACACAATCTAATTAATTCCAATATCAAATCCAATTATATTCAAATAATACATTCACCAAAATAGTAGAGAGATACATAAATTATTTACAAACGTTTACATAAATTATTTACAATGGCTATGACACTTCTAGGAAAGAATGTAATTCATCGATACATGATTATTAATCTATTTGAGTTCCTTTCTGTTCTTCCAGATTTGCTTGACACCATCCAACTCCTTCCAGAATGCCTCATAATAGCCAGGAATGCTGCAAAATGAAGAACGGTTATGCATAAGGCAAGGAGTTATCGAAGTAGAGTATCATATTTCTTAGTACAAGCTATTATCTAAATCATATTTTCATATGTGTATTTCTACTAGTGACTTCATTTTAGTAGCATCGCAGAAACCCAACCCAAGCATGTTTTGAATTATCATGATTCACATAAAAGATAATACAAACTGAAGCCATAATTTAGTGAAAGATTATATCATATTTCCAAAAGGATACATATTTTCATGGACAATTTTATAATATCTCCATGTAAAAGAACCAATCAATAAACAGTGGAACACCATCAAAACACATGAATGCACACTAATGCATTGAGATCCAAAATACACAGCAACAAAGCTCACCTGAATTCTCCAATGACCAACACTTCTGTTAACAGATAAACACCTGCGAAACATGGGAAACAAAAATTAAAACCACATATAGAGGATATACAATAGACGGAAAAAAAAACCAAAATTCTTCTATTCGACTACCTCGGTTTGTATATACAAAATGAATACCCAACTAAAGATTTCAGGGAATGATTGCACACTCAAATGTCAAATCATACAACAAACACATTAGCTAAATCAGCATCTTTTAGTCATTATTAGCTAAGTTAGCTTGTTTCAGTTCTTGTTAGCAAATACATGAATTAATTATGCCCAAAAATTAAAGTTAGTAAGCATAAATCAGAAAATTCATATAAGAAAACTAACTGTCATCGTGCATGTGTAATGAACTATGGAGACTTAATTCAGTACGACTACTTGACTATCAACAAGCAATATGAATATATGATATGAAGTCAATGAGGTTAATGCCGGACAACACTTACCTTGCGTTGCCAGTATCTGGGATTCCTTTTCTCCTGTTTATATAAAAAAACTCTAATAAGCACATTATGTCTGATGTTTAAAAAAAGTAAGCAGGAAGGAGGCCTCTTCCTTCAGAAATGACAATGAAGTAGAAAGCTCCATAAATCTACACAGAAGTAGCAGTAAATATTTATCATAAGCGAGGTTGAACCACATTTTTTTCAGCTACACTTTTCTAAAAGAGTCCCTCTTGAAACCATTATCATCGCTTTCCTAAAAAGCATAAAGAAGATATGATAAGGAAAACACTTAAAGAGTCCCTTTTCATATCAACATCAAATATCCAGATATGTTTGTATATTTGAAATGTAATATGCAGAGTATCTGTTTGATGAGTAAAATCACAGTTCATAAAATCATGATCTGACTAAAGCATATTGATATTTGATCTTCTGATCCGAGAAAATTATTATTTTGCATGTGAATATCATAGATCTAATATAAATTGTGATTTTCATAGTATGCATTCAGAATCAGTTGGATAACCATTAACATCAAAGTCTCGTATTACTGGATATCTTAGAATTGGAATGAAGGGGGAAAAACAGGTAGGAAATCACAGTTTACAAAACCAGTACTATAATAGCATGATACTCGACTTTTTAATCCAGGAGAAAGCTTTTATTACGCATTTTTGGAATATCATATACTTAAAAATACAATTTGATGATTATAATATAAAAATCCAAAAGAGAGCTTGTTTGCTATAATATAAAAATACAAAACACGCTTAGAGTTTACAAACATACATAGATTGCATAATTGAAAGACACGAAAAATCCATATGAGACTAGACAACCAAATTCCATATTACATATGTAAGATATTATATAGATTGATTCCAGCATGATTATCAATATTAGCATTTGAGTATTAGTACATACAAGTAAAAGAAGGTGCCACTTACCCTCTGCTGTCAGTATTGCGGATTGTTTATTCCCTTCAGCTCTTTTGATGTGTGATTCCTTTTCTCCTGTTTATATAAAAGAAATCAATAAGTTTACATTTGATTACAAAAGGCCAATAAAGTGAACTAGATGAAAATGTTATAATTTTCAGCTAGCCTCCATGAGAAAATCAAATTTGTAGCCTACATGATAGTGGGCACATTGAAACGAGACAATATTGCAATGCCATAATGTTGTAGTAGCATTCAGAAGAAATGTCTATAAGTTAAAGTACATGACACATGTCAATGATAAGCTCATATATTTTCACAAGTAATCACCTTCAGCTTCAAGAATCTGAGCACGTTTTTTTCTTTCAGCTTCAACTTGCATTTTCATAGCCGTCAATACTCTAGGTGGAGGTGTTACATCCACTGCATTAAATCAAATAACAAAAACAATGTGTAAAATTACAGCAAAACTGCCGCCCAAGTAATATGAACTGAACCCAAGTAATATGCACTGAAAACAAAGATAGACTTACTTATTTCATATCGAATACACTCAACACCCCAACCAGAAGCAGCGTCATTGATTACACTCTGTTTAGAGTAATGCCATTCACTAAATTAGGATCAAAATAAAACTAAGCAAAAGCAATACAACACACTTTCGTATAGCCGATGACTACTATCGCTCCTAACTTCTTCTCTCCTGTTCAACATCATTACTAAACCCTATTGGATAACAAAAAATTGAGCCCGTGAAGACTTCTATCAAGTGAGAAACTTCAAACTAACCACAATCTTCTCATTGAGTTTCGCCCTCTCCTTCAAACCCAATTGCATATATTATAGATCATTTTTAGTTTATGTGTCAGTACATGCATACTTTTCTTGCAGGTAGGATGAATATCTCACCGATCTGAATGAAATTGATTTTTGTTCCTTCCATAATTTTGCCAAGAATGCATGTAGATCAAACCTCCATCCCAAAATGCCTCTCCACTCTTTGTAGAGGCACTTCACAAACATAAATCACAAAGTAAAGATCAATTTCATTCAGATAAACTCACACAAGCATTTTAACAAACAGTCGGCATGCATTTCTCAATTTAAACACAAACTCACAGCTATAGCTAGAATTCAACATTCAACATTTGACAGCGTAGTCAAGTAAAACTTACAGCCACAGCTAGAAACCCGCCACCCTGTGTACCGAGGCGTCAGGGAGCGCAATGGCGGGAAATGGGTGTGCGAAGTTCGGGAGCCGAACAAGAAGACCAGGATATGGCTGTGCACCTATCCGACCCCCGAGATGGCCGCCAGAGCCCACGACGTGGCGGCAATCGCTTTGAGAGGGAAGTCGGCCCCGCTCAACTTCGAAGACTCCGCGTGGATGCTGCCGCGTGTGGCGTCGAGCAGCGCGGAGGAGATACGGCGTGTTGCGTCGGAGGCGGCGGAGAGGTTCAGGCCAGTGGTGTCTTCGCCGAGGCAACCGATGCCTTCTCCGTCGACATTGTCGTCGCGGCCGCCGCCAGCGGTGTTCGTGGACGAGGAGGCGCTGTTTAATATGTCGGGGTTGCTGAAGGAGATGGCGGAGGGGTTGATGCTGACGCCGCCGGAGATGGGGGAGAGAGAGAGGGAGGAGTAGGAGGGGGTTCCTGAAATGAAAACGAATTTGGGGATGAATTATTCGTTTTAGGGGGGAAAGGAGGGCATTCGCGGGTTTATTTGGTGAATTTTTTAAAAAAAATTGGTCAGTGTATTATAGACGGAAATTTCCGTCTAGGATACCATTCTAGACGGAAATTTCCGTCTAGAATATCTGGTTATTTTTAAAAAAAAATAAAAAATAAAGGAACCGTCTAGGATACTATTCTAGACGGACTTTTCCGTCTAGAATGTTTTATTCTAGACGGAATATTCTAGACGGAAAATTTCCGTCTAGTTTAATACATTCTAGACGGAAAAAATTCCGTCTAGAATATTCCGTCTAGAATACGTGATTTTCTACTAGTGCCAATTATAACCAATTACCGGATGCTTTTAGTGATTCTAGAAGAATTACTAAATCGTATATTCCAGCTGAAAATGCTCCGATTAAAATTGATATGCCAGAAGGAAAAAGTAAAAGTGTTAACAAATCTAAAGCACGCCTGAAGCGTGGTAGACCTCTTGGTTCCAAAGATAAGAATTCTTGAAAGAAAAGAGGATCGAATGATTAAAATATTGCTAATGACAAAATTCAATCCCCTGAAGAGGTCGCTCCTGAAGAGCCAACTCCTGAAAAGAATGAAACTATAGAAAATTCAATAAATTTTGTCATTACGGGAAAGAGTTAGAACCGAAGAGAAGTAATTGTCGATAATGTATTTGCATATAATGTAGCACTTGATATTATGGAAGAAGACGAGGATCATGAACCAAGATCGGTTGATGAATGTTGGCGAAGAAATGATTGGTCAAAATGGAAAGATGTGATCCAATCTGAATTAGATTCACTGGCTAAACGAAAAGTTTTTGGATCTGTAGTCCAAACACATGAAGGTGTAAAGCCAGTAGGATATAAATGAGTATTTGTGAGAAAAAGAAATGAGAAAAATAAAATTATGAAATATAAAGCAAGACTTGTAGTCCAATGATTTTCACAAATACCGGGATTTGATTATGATGAGACATATTCTCCAGTAATAGATGAAATTACATTTAGATATCTTGTGAGTTTAGCAGTACATGAAAGACTTGATATGCGTCTGATGGACATAGTCACTACTTATATGGAACATTAGATAATGATATCTACATGAAAATCCCTAAAGGATTTAGCATGCCTGAAGCATGTAAATCAAATCCTAGAGAATTGTACTCCATTAAGTTGCAAAGGTCTTTGTATGGACTCAAGCAATCTGGACGAATGTGGTATAACCGTCTTAGTGAATGCTTAATCAAAGAAGGTTATACAAATGACCCTACATGTCCATGTGTTTTCATAAAAAGGAATGTGTCAAATTTTGTGATCATTGTTGTATATGTTGATGACCTTAATCTGATTGGAACCCCTGAAAAACTCTAAAATGCGATTGAATATTTGAAGAAAGAATTTGAGATCAAAGATTTTGGGAAAACCAAATTTTGCCTTGGTTTACAAATTGAACATTTAGAAAATGGGATTTTTGTTCACCAAACTGCTTATACCCAGTAGGTATTAAAGCGGTTCTACATGGATAAAGCACATCAATTAAGTACTCCAATGATCGTCAGGTCACTTGATCTTACGAAGGATCCTTTTAGACCAAAAGAGGAAGATGAAGAGATTCTTTGTCATGAAGTATCATATCTTAGTGCAATAGGTGCACTAATGTATCTTGCTAATTGTACAAGACCAGATATATCATTTTTTATAAATTTATTATCAAGATTTAGTCCATTTCCTACAAAACGATATTGGAACGGTATAAAGCATATTTTTCGCTATGTCCAAGGAACAATTGATCTTGGCTTATTTATTCTTACTAGTTTTTACACACGTGCAATGCACGTGATTTAATATCATGATTAAGTATTTTTGGCAATTTGTGCTCATTTTTTTCTTTAAACTCTTACATTCCAATTATTTTTTTATGTTTGTTTAAATGGGATACACCCAATTTAAATTTTCATGTTGATATTTGAATTGATAAAAAACAAATATAATTTAAAAATAATTTAAATTTTCATATTATTTTTGACCGATATGAAACTAAGCTTTATTTGAGAAAGTATAGTATTGCAAAGTGAAAAATATTAAAATAGTGTTATACAAGGAAGGTGAATATTTAAAACCAATATGACAAAATGATTGATTTAAAGTATGTTAAAACGATGCAAAAGAGAATATGAAGTTTATTCCTAATCATTGATAGACTTCATAAAAAAATATAAATTAAAGATTAATGCTAACTCTAGTATACTTTTATATGATAAAAACATCCACATAAGAATATAAAAGTACTGAAAAAAATTCATGAAACTCCCTTCTAAAGATTCCTATTTTCACTCAAAATAATTAAACTATTCTATAAAATATTCAAAAAATATTGTTTTTTATTTCTTCTATTTTATTTTTTATTGAGTTAAGATCAATCCTTCTTCAGGTTTATCATTTATCATTTCTCGGGAAATTCTAGAGTATTGTCTTCATCATCTACATCAATTGTGACATCAGACTAATTTTGTATTTTTTATGCTATTATCTTTCCTGGGCTCGTCAATTTTTTATCATCTCATTTAACTTTACAAAGAAGTCAAATGTACTTATGATGTTCAACACAAACTGCTCAAAATATAGACTTTGATTTTTTTTCTATTTCAATGAGAATAAATATTAATTTCATATATATAAAATTCTTTGTGTTCCTAATTTATTACTTAAATAAATTAGAAGCTATCTCTTTATTTTCCTCTAAAATGAATTCTTCTGATGTGCATCCAATAAGAATTTCTGTTATTTCAATAATATTACCTTTGCTCTATCCCTGTCATTTTCCATAAAGATCTAAACTAAATACCTGCATTATTCATTACCAATTTCTCTTAGATTATAATATTAATATTTAATTTGAAGAACACAGTATGGAATTTATGAATACTTACTAATTTTTCTTATGTCTTCCATGGAGATTTTTTCTTTGATTAGGATAAAGTTATTAAATTATTTTTTAATGTAACTCATTCAGTGCTTCATTAATAGATATGTCTTATGTTAATGCCAATTCAAGTGATTCATTGACGTTTTCTGAATTTTAGATTTATTTCCATCACTTTCCCATTTGCAATGGAAATAACTCAATTCTTTTAAAGTTATCTCTAAATATTCTAATAGTTTCTCCATATGTAATTCCTTGTATTCTTTTACCCTATAAATATTATTAACGTCAAAGATTAAAGTTTCTAAATTAAAATCAATTAATGCTAAGGTATAATATTATAGTGTTTTATCATTTCTATGGATTTAAACATCTATCAATTAATGTTACGAATGTATTTTGGCTACCCCAACTTATTACTAAAATTATATGAAATTACTTTAATTTATATAGTGCCGATAATTTTTAATCTATAATATTTTTAAAAATTTTATCCATTAACCGGATGTTTTTAATCAATTCTTATTGTTTTTGTTTACCAGTATCAACTTAGACTATTCTTAGATGCTGAAAATGGATAGTAAATCCCTAAATTAGAAATTTTAATATATATATATATATATATATATATATATAT